TGTTGTGAAAAGCTTGTGAAGGGAAATTGTGACCTATGAACAACGAGGAGCATTGGCTCAAGTTATATTCAATTGTGAACGTATATGAAATGGTCGAACCCTTTGGAGCATTGGCTCAAGTGGTAAAGTGAGATATGAAATAAAAGTGAAAGGAAGAGGAAGAGTATTAAATTGTTCCCTTGCCGGGATATTGTTGTTTATTGATTATTTTCCCTTGCCGGGACGTTGAGATTATTGATGTTGTACCCTTGCCGGGATTTAACTGTTTAATTGTGTTCCCTTGCCGGGATTTCTTTTATTATTTTGTTTATTCCCTTGCCCCTTGTTTGTGATTGTTGTTTGGGTGAGGAAGAGTGTTAAAGCACGAAGGGTGATGCCGTGCATTGTTTGCTTATTGTGAGGAAAGAGAGTAAAGCACGAAGGGTGATGTCGTGCCGCACGATGTACCATTCCGAGCCGATTCTATTGATTATATGTGAGGAAAGAGAGTAAAAGCACGAAGGGTGATGCCGTGCACACTTTATTAATTATCATTGCTTGGTGAGGATGAGAGTAAAAGCACGAAGGGTGATGTCGTGCACTTTGTTGCTTTCTATTTCTTTATTAATGTCTGAGTTGTGTTATTTCCTTCGTTACTGGACGACTTTTACTTGAAATTGTTATTTCCCCATAGCATGCTCCCCCTCCCATTTTGATTACTTGTCCCTGTATTTCGATCCCGCTGTATATGTATATATAACTGCACAGGTTTATGTGGTAGTCCGGTCTAGCCTCGTCACTACTTCGCTAGGGTTAGGCTAGGCACTTACCAGCACATGGGGTCGGTTGTGCTGATGCTATACTCTGTGCTCTTTTGCACAGCTCCAGGTGTCGGAGCAGCTTACGGTGTGCAGCAGTAGTCAGGGAGCCGACCTTCAGTCCACGAGACTCCGAGGTAGCCTTGCTGGCGTCCGCAGGCCCGGCGTCTCTTCTTTCAGTTTTCGTGTTCTGTTGACATTTGTATCTGAAACAGACTATGTCCTTTATTTCAAACTCCTATTTGTAGTAATCCTAGACAGTCCGTGTATTGTTGTGACACCAGGTGCTGGGTAGAGACTTGTATTGACCTTCTAGATGTTGTTTCTATATTTAGTTCAGACTTCCGCTAAATTTTACTTTTCGTTGTCTCTTTAACTGCTTATTCGTTGATAATTTAATTGTTTAATCATGTATGAGACAAGATAGGTTAATGTTTGTAAAGGTTCTTGGCTTGCCTAGCTACCACGAGTAGGCGCCATCACGACCCCCGAGGGTGGGAAATCCGGGTCGTGACATCGGTGAATCTGTGTATGAACTTCCAGCACATTATGCTGGAACTCCAACACGCGGAAAGTTCTAGCACAATATACTAGAGATTGGAGCACCTCTCTATGAACTTCCAGCATATTATGCTGGACCGGTATAATATACTGGAAGTTCAGTATATTATACTGAAGTATACTGGAACTCCAGTATAATATATTGGAGTTCTAGTATACTTATGCTGGAACTCCAGTGTATTATACTGGAGCTCCAGTATATTATATTGAATTCCAGTATATTATGCTGGAATATTTTCCGGATTTTGAACAGTGTTTTCGTTCAGATTTATCTTTACATGAAAAGTGGCTAAATTTTGATTACTTTTTAAACTGTGGCTATTTTTGAATGACCACTTGTAAATCTGGCTATTTTTGAATTTCACCCAACCTTATCCGAATTGATCTATTAATCCAGCCTATAGATTTCGATTAAATCAAAAGAGAAGAATTGGGATCCTTACTTAAATAGCCGGTCAAATTCGTTGTTGATTTTTTCTAACCTGAATACATATACTATACACATTATAAATACATTCTACATATATTATATATCTGCCAATTATTTTTAGTTTAAGTGGTTGAATAAACGACTAAAGTTAATTCTTCAAAAAAAAAATCCATTGTCCTGCCTCCATAGGCTGACAGTAAGATAATCCAAATCCTTTGATAGTTGCAAGTACTTCCGGTCCACGTTAACCCAAGTCAAAAGACCAGCATCAGATCTACTTTTACATCTATACCCGGTTTTGGGGTCACAATTGAATCTATACCCACTTTGCAAAGAAGTTGGCAAGCGTACCCACTTTACGATCAACTTCAGACTTATCGGATCTGAAGTTAAAAATAACTAATCTGAAGTGAAAAAATTGCACTTCAAATGCACTTGAGGCCAAATAGGTCTGAAGTGCAACCAGTGGTTTCATGCATTTAAGGCTAATAAGTGTGAAGTGAAATATTGCACTTCAGATTCACTAACGGCCAATAAATCTGAAGTGAAAAATTGCACTTCAGATGCACTTAACACCAAAAAGTCTGAAGTACAACAAACGTTTTCATTCACTTAAGGCCAATAAGTCTGAAGTGAAAATTTGCACTTCAGATGCACTTAAGGCTAAAAGGTCTGAGGTGCAACAAACGTTTTGCTGCACTTAAGGCTAATAAGTCTGAAATGAAAATTGCACTTTAGATGCACTTAAGGCCAAAAGTTCTGAAGTGCAACAAACGTTTTGCTACACTTAAGGCCAATAAGACTGAAGTGAAAAATTGCACTTCAGATGCACTTAAGGCCAAACGGTCTGAAGTGCAACCAACATTTTTATGCACTTAAGGCCAAATAGGCCTGAAGTCAAATTGCCCAGAAACAGAAATTTGTTTTTCGAATTATAACAATCCAATATACGATTTAATACCTAAATCTACTCCAAAGGAGCTCAAATTTGAAACATAACCTCCAAATATCATCAGGAACAAACCTTAATCATCAATTTGGTAAAACAACAATAAATCTAATGAATCCATTTTGCAATTAAGAAGAAGAAGAAACCTTAAGCAGTAGTAAAAAATAAAGCGTCATAACAACTCACCATTGTAAAACATCATAAACTACATTAAAATATGTTTACAACCACCATATAAAATCATTGTCACCCGAAGAAGAAGAAGAAAACGAAGGAGGAGAAGGAGGAGGAGAAAGAGGCCTGAAGTTGTTTAAAAAATGGGTACAAGTTTTTTTTAAAAGTGGGTATAGGTTATATGGGGGCAACCAAATAGGGCATCTCGTGCAATTTTTACGATCTGCAAAGGTACTATAAATGTCAAGTTGGGCTTAACAAGAAACCAGCAATCTTTTGGGCCTCGATTGCGCCTGCAAATGTTAGATAATTCATTTTTGAGAAACTTTCAGAAACCACTATGTTTTAGTGGTTATTAGCTAGTTGTAGCTACCATTTACTATATTACTTCCTATAGCTATCTTTTCAGAATTTTTAGAGTGTATTCGATGTATTTAAGCTATTGTATTCATGAATACAGTAGCATTTCTAGGCGTGAAACTATAGGTGTTTAACGGGCGGGCTGGGACGGGCTGTACACAAAAAAAATCAGCCCGTACGGTTATCGTTCCGGGCTGTTAGCGGGTTGTGTTTTTGCGGGTTTTATTGGGCCCGTACGGGTTCGAGCTTAAGCGGGCCGGACCGGGCTGTGCTAAATTTTTTTTTAAATTAAATTTTGTTAGCAACGGTACACAAATTAAAAGAAATTAAAAAAAATAAAAATTTAACCCATTAACGGGCTGAACCGGGCTGCAGCCCGTTAACAACCCGTTAACGGGTTAGCGGGCTTAGCGGGTTCCGGTGCACCGGTATCCAAAATGTGTTCGTCTAAAACCCGCTTCCCGTCCAACCCGTCCCAGCCTGCCCTATATGCTACAGTAGCGGGCTGAACCGGGCTGGCCCGGGTTAGAGCGGGCTGAAAACGGGTCAGCCCGGCCCGATTAACAGGTATACGTGAAACAGGGGATTACAGTTAGACAGATTTTTATATTCGAGTGTATTCGACTGTATTCATGGCGTGAAACATGAAATTACAGCTGGACAAATTATTGTATTCGACTGTATTCACGACGTGAATAGGGGATTACACTGTTTTTAAACGGAAAGTGAATCAATTGACATAATAAACTCCTAATATAACTCAACAAACTCAATTATAACACACAAATTTTGTATTTCCAATTATAAAAAAGATTCTCAACCGAAAAATACCCCGAAAACATAGCAATCTTCAGAGAAATTATATAATACATCTGAATACATAAATTATATTAATTAAAAAAAATATATGAATACATTCATGGAATATAGCAAGACGATGAATACAATGAAATACATAGAATATATAGCGGGATACATTGAAATACAATGAAAAAAAAGACATGAATACAATGAAATTCATAGAATACAGCGAGATACATTGAAATACAATGGAAAAAAAGACAATGAATACAATGAAATACAGCGAGATACATTGAAATATATTAACAGAAAATTCAAGTTGCTCAGCCCCCAATCCGTCGTCTTTCTTCAAGAACAACCCTAATGTCGTCTCGTTGAAGCAGCATCAGTATCCAGTCCTCGCTCGCCGCCACCGTTGCCTCCGGTTGCCGACGATCCAACGCCGCCTTTAATTACTGCTGTTGCATCGGAGATCGTACGTGATCGAAGTTTCCATGGATTCCAAAAGTAGTAGGGAATCAATCACGAGTAGTACCATTCAGAATCTGCAGGGGCCTTAACCTTCGGCGACAAAGGCTTCGATAGAGGCATTGCCAATTCACGCGAATTTAAACATGAGACATCATATATAGTATAATATTCCATAAAATATTACTTAGAATATAATACTAGTACCTATTAAAAGAAACCAAAAGGAAATAAAAGTTTTGGAAGAAAAAAGGAAAAGGTGAAAGCTTTACCCTACTTCGATAGAGGCACTGCCAATATGAGATCGGGAAGTAGAGAGAGAGAGGGAGAATAGATATGGGGTAAGGGATAGGAGAAATTTGAGGGGATATGAGAGAGAAAAATATTACAAAGCTTATTTTATGGCTTAAGGGTAGAAGGTGACCATAAATAAATATTTGGCTATAAAAAATCAAAAGGTAGCTATAAAATATAATTTTTTAAAAGGATATTTATTTAAAATAAATAAGATATCAACCTTTGCTATAGGAGATAACTAATCCTTTCATTTTTCCTTGAGAAGGTGAAGAGAAGAAGCAAAGAATAATTGATCTGCCATACAGCTTACTAGTCACACTTAAAAATTCATTCATATTTAACTAAATGGATGATAATATTATAAATTCACGTTGTCAAGTTCACTAGCTACACCATATCTTGTAACATTCAACACAACGTAAAACATCAAAAAGTTAGTACTTTTTTCTCTCTTTTCCTTCGAAAGGATTTAGTGCACTACAAAACTCAAATTTCTGAATGCTGAAAATAAAACAGTCAGAGACGTTTTTGCAGTTACAGTTCATAGGAGTGATTCTTAATCAAACATAAAAGAAGGCCATCAATAAAACAATAATGCAACATCGTAAGTTATCATTCTTAGTCAAACCTCCTTTTGATAACAGAGAAAATCCCGTGAGCTAGCTGGCACACAGTTTGAAACTCAGTGGGTAATGGGCCTGCCCCTCTACCCCTCTCCACTTAAATACCCGACTTTTGAGTGCGACAGGATTTGAACTCGTCCCATGCACCTAACCCACATATCACAATTCATGCGTTGTACTCTTACTACTGAACCATAGCCCGGGGGGCATAATTCACTGCTCTCAAAATGACAATACAAGCACCCTAGATATCACACCCAGTAGAGGCGAATCCAAGAGTTTGAAGTTTATGGGTTCTTATTGTAATCTCAAATTAATATACACTAATAACTGGGTTTACATTTATATATTTATAGATATTTAATGAATTTTTTAATAAAAATACAGAGTTTCTGCAAAAGTTACTAGGTTTAACTATACTCTACATCCGCCACTGACACCCAGTGAACTCCAAAATAAATTGACAGCAGCTCTAACTATTTAAGAGATACAATACCTCAGCTGCACAGACATGACTCTCTCTTCCTCATCGCTACAAGCGCCAGATACTCCTTGGCACCATAGACAAGGATGTGTCATCTCTAAATTGGTCTTTGCCACCCGAGACAAATAATCTGTTTGGATGTTCACTGCCTTTATCATAATCGCTGCTAAATATCGTGCAAAGATATGTACAAGAAAAACTTCCAAGTTCCAACTGACTAACCGTGGGGAGAGAAGTAATTAGTCTTCTAATTTAACAGACATTAGCATCGCCTTTGTGATGCATTTGACATGAACAAGAACAGAGATTACCTTTTTACGGAAACTTGGAAAATAAGCTAATTAATACCTTGAAATGCAGGGAAAGATGCATGAATCTGCACTCAGAAATGGAAAGAAGAGATGATTTTTCCTCGTAGTAATTGCTGATCTTAGGAAATGCATTGAAAAAGACATTCACCTGCAACACCAGTATATATTAAAGACATATTAGGCAGGTAATTGAATGAACAACAATATCTTGGAGGCAAAACTATATATTAGAGTAGATTATCCCTGTCATCCGTATTTCAAGAAACTGGAGAGCCTCAACCACGTTAATAAACCAATAAAACCTACTAATAAAACGTGCATAGAAAAATGCACTTAGCAGTTAGGACTTAGGACCGAAGAAGTTGGAATAGTTTCATTTAACAAAAGGCAGTGAATTTGTAATTTGATATGCTTCCCACATGGTATGGAAAATGATAAAAGGTTGGATACAGTGCTTATTCCTGAGTCAGACCCTTTTGTTATAAGGTCTTTTAGAACATGGTGAACTGACAATGAACGACACATAGATGTGCTAGTTTTCTCCCTAAGGCAAACCAAAGCTCCTCCTCCACAATGATCAGATGTCACATGATCTATCATTCCAAGCAATAATCACAAGCACCAACCCACACATGCACAAATTAATCTTTAAGGATCAACAACCAATTCGGGGAAAAGAAGGAACCATCAACAACTAATGTTGATCCAACAAAATGGAATATTCAAGTGGTCTGATTGATTGGCTGCACAGGCATGATACCGGTTCAAATGTGATGAGTATGACAGTAATGTTTGAAAGGTAAAAACGTCTGACCATGCACCACTTCTCAATTTGTCAGTAACAGGGAAATAAGATGCAATCTTCCCATTTAATTGAAGGGATACCATGAAAAAAAGTGGAAATGTCAGTCTCATAACAAAATCAGCATTAACGAAGAGGTAAAAGGTGGATAATGCACAACAGCGCAAGAATTTGGAATTGAATTCACGGTCATGATTCTTAAAAAGACACTCAGTCATTTGTGAAGCATGGGTTTACCTCTGATCCAACAGAAATGCACCGTTCTTAGAAGTAACATAAAAGAAGCTGGATTTCAACAAAGATACATTCTACTAGCACCCAAGGGTGTAGCCTAGTGGTCAATGAAGCGGGTTGAGAATCTGACGTCTCAGGTTCAAATCTCAGCAGAGACAAAAACACTAGGTGATTTTTTCTCATCTATGCAAGCCTTGGTGGATAGAGTTACCTGGTACCTGTTGCTAGTGGGAGGAAGCAGGTATCCCGTGGAATTCGTCGAAGTATGCGCAAGCTGGCCCAAACACCACGATTATAAAACAAATGTACATTCCATTTGTTTTCTTCGGAAAGATTGTTTAGATCTAATTTAAACAAGAAGAAGAAGAAGATAGAAATGCTTATATATTGGATTATTAACAATTAACCACAAGATATATAAGTCGTTTTACTTCAATACTTCAGTTATAGACGGTCAAGCTCCTAATGTCTTGAGTTTCTAAAGAAAGAAAGAAACCACTTGCATCTGAAAACAAGTCAGATTTTCGAACATGAGGACTGCTGTACCATATCATCAATTATCACTATTAGGACATATATCCACGACATACATAGTGATGATCAAATTGGTCGCATCACCCAACATATAAATTACAGAAGTGAGAATTGTTTGAACAATATAGTCGATAACATTCTGGTAATGGAAACTAAAAACTCGGGAAACAATCTATACAATCAGTGGTTAACATGTAATATACAGGAGTCAATAATGTGTTCCAGGGGAAAATGTACAGCCATTGCTCAAAAGTTGGTCACAAGAGACTAAAAGAGATTATCCAACTTCAGTGGGTCATTTCATAAATGAATTCGCCTCAACTTGCAGCTGTAGTAAATTTATTTTTTAGTGCCCATGTGCTTATGTATCCCTACGCATATTTGTAGAAAGGAGATCCTTATTCAAGATGATAATTATGATTGCAGATCTCATATCCTTACAGGATCTTGAAGTTTATAGCTTTGAAAGTAGATTTTTCACATAATCACATGGAAATAGTATTGAAAATCTCAAGAATTCTTAGCTATACTAGGTATTGTAGAGGAGATATCCACAATGATATGAACTTATAGAATCTTAAATGCACTTGAAGTGGATTTTAGAATCTAAGGTGGCACGTCCAAAATTCTTTTTGTTATTACTTATTTCCCCAAAAATTACAACTGTCACATTCCCATTTTGGAAAGAATAAAGGTTGGAGTAATACAAAGAGAATAAAAAATAAAGCATCAACAATGACGAAATGGCTTAATCTATTACAGTACTTATGCAATCCCAAGACAAGATATATATATATATATATATATATATATATATGTGAAACAAAAACAAAAGAAAGAATAGAAGAAAGACCAAAATCATTTTATCCATCCAACGATGAGCTACTGAGGAAATTCAATCACTTAAGAATTTAGGAGAAGCAGATTAAGAATATTCATATGGATGGATATATTCGCACTATTCACCTACATCCTCATATACAGAATTTACAATGTTTTCACAAAAATCAGGGTAAATGTTGGTTCAGGATAAAGAATAAAAACAAGAAAAAACAAGCGAAAGTAAGTGGCAAATTTTATATTATGCATTTAGCACCCACAAACATCAAACAATATCCTTTAAGAGTCAAAACCAAGATCGTATCCTTTTAACATGGACTAAATTAGAGGTTATCAGTACACATAACCAAAAGATTCAGAACTAGAAAAAACATATTTGGTGAACTCCATACTTTGATTTTCAAAATACATCATTTTATGAAGTGTAAATTGACATGTGCCAATTAAGCTGAACATTCTTGTTTCTTACCCAAGTGACGTTTGTCACTAACACATTACAAGTTGCTTATACGTTTTAACTAACTTAACAACATTTTAGTGTAGGAAAGTTGACAAATTGGGTAACCAAATCAGCCAAATTAGCCAGCAATTTATTGCCCTAAACAAAATCGGACATAGCTTAACTAGAATATTGCCCTCAACAGGTGGGACGTATTTAAACCAAATTTTTCTACTTTCTAAAGCATTACCGATAGCAACGAATAATTAGGAAAGTCATCATTCAGAAGGTAGCTTATAAACATTTAAATAAAGCCAACCACTTACTAACATATCCATCATGACTTGGGACTGCAAGTAACCCGCACAAGAATGGACAATTTAGATGACAATTCAAAGAGTTGATGACGACATTAGACTTGGATGTGCTCAAAACGTGTTATGTTCCATATTCACATGATTCCAAATGAGGCGTGTCGTCTTTGAGGCTAGATTTCTGCATCACTTGATGGTTCTACGTTCAGAAAAAACAAGAGTTATGCCAGCTGTAAAGAACTTCAAAGCTTATTTTGCAATACTTGTTATTTGATAATATGATTTTAAAAGCAATCATTTGATGTAGGTGCGCAGGATAAAACGACATAGTCCTATTGAGCTAAATATTTTGTTTCTAATCTAGGTCAGTATTACCACTAATACTCTCAAGAAGAAAGCATGAAAAGCAGAGTGACATAGGAGCTAAAACATGGATATGGGCAATAGTGAAAAGAGAGGATGAGTTATAATCAAAGGACTCAGGAATTAAAAAGCATTTGGTGAAATTCAGATGGAATTTCTTAGGCGCTTCTCTTTAAAAGTGTAAATAGACAGAATTATTCAAAACTTAATCTGTATTATCCAATTCAAAATGTTAACATGTATAGCTATGAATAGATCCTCCAACAGCATTGTCGGAGGGAAAAGCCAGAACTCCAGCTAGCAAGATGATACGTTGCAGCACCTTCATTGCATGTAGACCGTGTGTCTTTCACATGGAAGAACTTTATTTAAATGGATTACTCAATCTACGACACCACTCCACCTCATCTCCATTTACTATCGTCACCTTCACTACAATCACACTTCATCTCTATTTAAAGCAACAAAACCTGCATCCTCAAGTTCACCACAATCTCACTCCATCTCTATGTACTTACAGTGCAAGCTCGTTCCTTTCAACCCAAAGTGGTCTGCTCCCTCACTGAACTTTGAATTCAGGCCCTCCATATCATACAGTAACTTGAGCACAGACCATGAGAAATCTCATTTTCGAAGAACCCAGGATCAGAGTAAATACCAATACTACTCAAAGTCTAAATCATGCCTGGGAGCGGATACGAGTTCCAGTAGTTGTGCCTGCTCTACATCTTGCAATGTATATATGCATAGGGATGTCCATCATGCTCTTTCTTGAGCGCATTTACATGGCAATAGTGATCGCAGGGGTCAAGTGCTTTGGAAGGAAAAGATATACGAAGTATAAGCTCGAGTCTGTAAAAGAAGACCTAGAGAAGCACAAAAACTACCCAATGGTGTTGGTCCAAATACCTATGTTCAACGAAAAGGAGGTACATACCTGCCAGAACCTTTTAACTTTACTTGAGTATATGCCTTTTCTGTTCAAGTTCCAGAGATTTACAGTTATGCATACATGATTATTGTTCAGCATTGTGTCTCAATTTTAACTATTTGCGTAGAAGTAACTAAGAATATGTTTGTTTTCATCCCCCTTTCTTTTTCTCGATCGGTGGTTATAATGTTTCCATCTTAAAAGTAATTTGTAGAAAATAAATCACTAACATACAATGATCCCAAAACTGAATGAAATTTAGTCAATGCAATGGAAAATACAATTTCATTTCACACAACCACCATTAATCAAAAATCTAGAAACAACACTAGTGTAAAACTGTACTGAGTATCAAGTGAAAGTTCATTGGAGGATTTTACCTTCAATGCTAGTGGAGCAATCTTTGTTCTTCTCTCACCCTTACCTGGCTTCCCCATACCCAGACCATTCAGAAAAGAATTAGAAAAATGGCAAAACTACACCACAAATGACAGAAATTCCTTAAATGGAAAAATAGATGCAAGAAATTAATCCCTTCTCATATAAATCCTGAACCATTAGTCAGACTTTACTGATTAAGTTGACAAATCTTTTGTCGGTGTCTAATCTTTTCGTGTTGAGTACTGCTACAAAACCATTTTTTTAGTAGCAGGAGACCAAATAAATAAGATAGATCTAACAGATCAATGTTAATTGGCTAACAAGGTCAAACCAGGACGGTAAGCCAGAACATGGGAAGGAAGCTTATTGTCCATCTCTTTAAAAATTCCAAAAGGAGCAAGATAGTTTAAGCACGTTTTGACCAATAGAATCTACATACTGTTTGACTGATTGTAGAAATTATAGATTTATGTTAATCATCCAACACTGTTAATGACTTGTAGATAGCTTAATAAGCGCCATCTAATTAAAAACCAACAGAAACAAACCTAGATATTTTCTGCCATTATGCAATTTAAATTTGAGAATGTCACTAGCATATTGACTGTAAGGGTCTAGCCTCTAGCTTAGTTGGACAAGGAACAACGTTTAGGAGCATATAACATAAAGGCACTAATATTTGTGCCTTGCTCCTGATCAAAGAAAATAAAAACTGGGCAACAAGAAAAAAGCATTTGGAATTAGTCTGAGTGCCAACAAGAATAGCAGATTAATAGGAATATAAACTTTCTTTACAATGAAAACCATTACTCATCTTATTGTTCTTTATCAGGTTTACAAGCTCTCTATTGGAGCTGCATGTGGCTTGTCATGGCCATCAGATAGGCTCATTGTGCAGGTTCTTGATGACTCCACCAATGAAGTTTTAAGGGTAACTCTTTCAACTCAACAATATCTGAGAGCAAAATTTAAGAATCTTCTGAATCCCAAATAATTTTTGAGGATATATTTGCAGACATTAGTGGACTTGGAATGTCGAAAGTGGCTAGAGAGAGGGATAAACGTGAAATACGAAACAAGAAACAACAGGAACGGCTATAAAGCCGGTGCTCTCAAGGAAGGTCTAAAGAAGCAGTATGTTGATGACTGTGAGTTTGTTGTGATCTTTGATGCAGACTTTCAGCCTGATGAAGACTTTCTTTGGAGGACCATACCATATCTTCTCGACAACCCAGAATTGGCTTTGGTTCAAGCCAGATGGAAATTTGGTAAGGCCAAAGACAGTATTATGTCCATAACACACTGAATTACTGGTCATGTTCCTCAAAAACAATTTTTTTAAAGATGTTCAAAAGAGGTATAACACAATTAATGAACAGTAATATTATAATGTTTGTGACAGTAAACTGCGATTGCATCCATTTTATAATTACAGGATTCCTTTATGTTGTTTCCATCCCACTCAAAGAACTTTTCATGAAGAAATTTATCTAAAAAAGAAAATATATATTCAGCAAACTGTTCTTAATCTATTTAAAGGCAATGCCTGCGTAGACTCATAGGCGGAATTAACAGCTTCAGTCGTACTTTTGGTTCTTACTAACCTAGTCATTAATGTAATCAAAATGTTTCCACAGTTAATGCAGATGAATGTCTGATGACTCGACTCCAGGAGATGTCATTGGACTATCACTTCAGTGTTGAGCAAGAAGTTGGCTCGTCAACATGTTCATTCTTTGGGTTCAACGGTAAACCAAGAGCCAGATCTCACTCTACATACAGGCATTCAACAGCTAGAAATTATTCTGAGAATGCAATTAGCTTTTTGGATTGAATTGTAGGGACTGCTGGCGTCTGGAGAATTCAAGCAGTGAATGATGCTGGTGGATGGAAAGACAGGACCACAGTAGAGGACATGGACCTTGCAGTCAGGGCTAGCCTTAAGGGTTGGAAATTTTTGTTTGTGGGTGACCTAGCTGTGAGTTCATAACTTCAAAAATTCTTATTTATGGAAAAATGACTAGAAGCCTCTATCTATCAGAAGCATAACATAGTTCATTTAGGTCAAGAACGAACTCCCAAGTACCTTCAAGGCTTATAGATTTCAGCAGCACCGCTGGTCGTGTGGCCCAGCTAACCTCTTTCGCAAGATGATGAAAGAGATCATGCTTTGCGAGGTGATACTATTTTCTAAATTCTGTCTATGTTTTAAAAAAAGAAGCTTTTCTGTCACCGAGTCACATCACACCTTTTCTTTTAATGCAGCGTGTATCAATCTGGAAGAAGTTTCATCTCATCTACGGCTTCTTCTTTGTGAGGAAGATTATTGCACACTGGGTTACTTTTTTCTTTTACTGCGTTGTCATTCCAGCAACTATCTTAGTGCCTGAAGTGCATCTTACAAAGCCTCTAGCTATATATCTTCCAGCAACCATTACCATTCTTAATGCCGCTTGCACACCAAGGTATGTGAACTCAAACTCAGAAAACCTTCTTCTGTTCATTTACATATTTTTGAAAGAACGATAATTACACAGCTTAGTATTGTTTCCATGCAGATCTTTCCATCTTCTTGTATTCTGGATCCTATTCGAGAACGTCATGTCTCTCCATCGATCTAAGGCAACAATAATAGGACTCTTAGAAGCCAACCGAGTAAATGAATGGGTTGTAACTGAGAAGCTGGGGAACATGATGAAGCAAAAGTATAGTGCCAAGGCATCAAAGAGACCAAGATCGAGGATAGGTGAAAGGTAATCGTATATTGATATTTTTCATTAAATTTGACAGTTTATTCAGTCCTACGAAGTTGGTAGCATCAAAGTATTGTCTATCCTGCAAATTTCTGATTGCAACCTGCACTATGGTTTGAAAACAGGATTCATGTCTTAGAGCTGCTAATGGGAATGTATATGCTATACTGTGCTATATACAACATGCTATTTGGAAATGATCACTTTTTCGTATACCTGTTCCTGCAAGCAGGAGCTTTCTTCATCGTTGGAGTTGGGTATGTTGGAACATTTGTCCCCAATTAGCGAATCCAGTGAACATAGATGCCACTATCGTGTTGGACAGACAGCAAGAAGCATGCCCAGCTAGTAGACTAATAGTGTGTAAGTGCTAAATTGTATAAAAACTTAGGCCCTACGAGAGCTCAAAGGTTTCAATGTAATAATGCGTTGTCTCATATTTATATATTTGCAGAATTGACAGCTTGTTCATTTGGCTGTCCAAATAACTTTCGCTACACTTCAGCCTGTTATCAGATTTCCACTGCATAACATACATGCAGTAAATTATGAACAAAATGAACATTAGTATTGTGTTTTCTTTTCTGCTTATCAAGAAAGATATTTTCTCTTCTTTTGTATAAGAAAAAGGTGAATAGGTGAAACTTGATACTTTAAGTAAGCATATTTTACTTCAAGATTTAACACTTCCTGATGAGCTTAATGAACCTATGGATCCAAGAACCCCAGATTTTATAAACCTTATATAGCGAAAAGCAAAAACACAGTGCACCAAAAATCATAGAAGAAACCGGGGGATGACAGCGAAAGCCATAAAGTTAAGAAATTCCTCCAGCTTTGGTGATCTTCACCTGTTAGTTGTTTGTTAACCACGAGAATTCGGTATCTTTAGAACTAGAAATCTTCATCAAGGATCTAGAGAACAGCTGGCAAGCACAGTACATGAAGAAAAGGATGAAGATGATCTGGAAGCTTATTCCTTTCGGCATCATTTGGACGGTTTGGCAAGAAAGAAACAAGAGACGTTTTGAAAAGAAAAAGGACCAGATTTCTGCTAATAAAATATAGGTGTTTACAACATTTGTTTTAATGACGAAAAGGTGATACTGTAATTAGCATAGATGACTTCTTAGACTTGCTAGATTCAGTTCTTGCTAGTCTTTGTATAAGTTCAATATTTTTGTACTACTTTATTACCTTCTTGGTACTGTTATTATTAATAAAATTACCTTACTTATCGAAGAAATATCTAAAAGCTGTTGGGTCCAGCGATTGAGGTAATAAGCATAAAACAGCTAGCGGACACATCTGGCTGCAAAGGCGGACAACTCCCAACTGTGATATTGAGAAGTTGATATGACATGGAGTAATAGAAAATGAAAAAGATAGACTTCCTGAAAATCATTTTTTTTTCATGAAGTAATATTTCTATTAATGCAATGGGAAATTCCTATAATAGGAATAGCATACAAAATTAAAGAACCTACACAACAATATGGTTCTCTACAATAAAAGCATTTGAAAAGAACAACTTTCCTCACAGTCTCCCTTTGCCAATTCTTTAAGTTGTGAATGCAGGGGTAAACATGTGACCTCTTCCGCAGTATCACCTATAGATTAACCACAAGTTGCTTCTTTCCAAAAAAACACTACCAATGTTAACAAGACCAATGCAACTAAATTGATTTTCTTCATTTATTAAACACATTACTTGTCCTCGATCATTCACCTTTCTCTTCTATCTTAATATTCAACAAATCTTTTATTCTTATAAAAGGAGAAAAGAAAACCGAAATAAACTATCAAATGGAGTAAGAGGTATATCTAATAATTAACAAAGTTGAAATTTCCATCTTTTAATTAGGGATTTTTCTTCCTCTATACTTTTCTATAATAAGTAAAGGCGTGGTGACATAGTAGTGAAGCTAGCGTCTAATGTATTGATGAATAGGCTTGTGAAACCCCAAATTAGTAACCGATCCATCAATTCCTTTTAGATAATGCTTAAAATATATAACAAAACAATGATTACTGTATAGGCAAATACTGCACTAAGCTAAAATTCAGTGAGCACAATAGACACAAACAGACTTACATGGACGGGTCAATGGGACGATCAGAAGGCTCATGGCTGGGCTTGGTGTCCTCCGTTGGACTTCAGAGGGCACCCGCCTAAGGTCGGCCCCAAGTTGCCAAGCCTATGTCAATAAAAATAAAATTAGAAAGGAGTAATAAAATAAATAGACACATAAACACAAATAACAAGCAAGAGCACGAATTTGCTTCTGAGATTCTGCACTTAAAATAAATGCATACAGATATTGATTTCTTCTTTATATAGCCATCAAGTATCACTGAAACCTCATATCAATACTCACTTTATTCCAATTTGTACCATAATCATCCCATTTTGGTAAAAATGAATAATACCATTCCATTTCTTTTCTTTTTTTCTTTTTTTTTATGACGGTGGTGTTTGGCCCAGCTTGCATGCACCTCGACTATTCCACCGAGCACTTGCTACCTCCCACCAGCACAGTACAGAAAAACTCTGCCTACCATCACCTAATGTCTTTTTTCTTTTTGTTTTTCCTTTCTTTTCTCTTATTCTTTTTTACGAAGCCTAGTTTGCGTACACCTCAACTATTCCACCGGGTATCTACTACCTCCTACTAGCACAGGTAACATAACTCTGCCTACCTAAGCTTAGGCAGATGGGAAGAAATCACTTAGTATTTTTTTGCCTATGCTGGAATTTCAACCTCACACCATTCCATTTCAATATAATTTTCACAACTTTCAGATATTCAAATTCATTCAACTACTCAAACTTTTAACTTTTTCTCTAACAACAAACTTTTCAATTATTACTTTAATACTTTCGCTATCTAGTGTATATAACTAATTTAACATCTTAAACTCCTCGTTGAGTCAAAAAGCGTAATGCAAACACATGAAATGCGCCGTGCAGTGCTAACAATATATGATCGCGATAAATTGTACGATATTGTTATCATTCATGAAAATATATACTACCTGTGAAAGCGCGAAGGTTTTGTTGTCTGAAGTTTTTCTGAAGCACTAGCATTGATTAACCACTGTGAAATCCATAGTCGACAACGGCGAATTTTCGATCGGAGTGTTAGAATTTTCGATCGGCGGATGAAAACGAGCGGGAAATGAAAACCGCCTAACCCGACCCGGTCATGGAGGATTTGCACGAACCGATGCCTAATAATTTGGATGAAGTGCAGCAATAGCCACTTTAAAGCCCACTATTTAAAATATATTCACAATTTACAACGTAATTAACGATCAGCCAATTCACAAAAACTTTAGGACAGAGTATCGTAAATTTAGAAATTCAGAACTTAGTGTCCTGATTTTGAGCTGCTAATTTGAAATTCATGACTAAGTGTCCTGAATTTCTAAACTTTAATTTAAAATTCACGACATAACATTCGAACTTCTAGATACAATTTTCGAATACGATGTCTGAAGTTTGAACTTTGAGGTTTAAACTCTGGGACGTCATATCTTGAAGTCTGAGCTAAATTGGCTAATCTTTAAATACATTGGAAACTGTGAAAATATTTGAAAGAGCATTCTTCAAAGTGGCTATTTGGTGTCATTTCCACCAATAATTTGAAGTCCAAAAGGAAATGGATCCGATGTTGTTGAATGTGTGGGCAGAAAAAACAGTCCAATATCAGGATCCTGGCATTTCAAAATATCTTTGCACAAATAACCGTTTGAATTTATTATTTATTTTTTCATGCCAGTATACATAAATTGTACACTGACTATATACATTGATACTCTCTCTCTGTGTATATGTGTTATAATACATACAATTTCTATTTTTAGTTTAATCGATTGGGTGAGCGGCTATTTAAGTCAATTCTGGATTTTAGGCCATATGTAAAAACCTTCAAATGAATTGGGCTACGTGGTCGATCGGACCAGTAACAGAACCAGCTCCAAGTTCATGTTGCCACTCTTGTATACCCTCAGTTATAATTCGTTTTGTCACTTTTTGTTTATTGAAAGTCTAATTTCAAATTAAATTATGTAGACATGGTTTAATTTTATAATATAAAAGGCAAATAAAAATATCATGACTTATAAACTTTCTTCCATATAAAAATGCAGTTAGAAAGTCTAGTTAAAGATTCTTAAAATGATCTTGGGAAATCGAACGCACGTAACAAATATTTAATTTTCTTTCCTCTATACTTTTATTATTTGGCCTATGGTCGTTTCACGAGTTTTGTTCAAGAGTAGAAAATGAAATCAGTTTCCATATATTCACAATTAAGGAGTCCGGAACCAAAATGTGGTTCTTTTGGACTCAAACTACACAAATAGGTGTAAAAAAAAAAGTTATCATACTATATATAACGCCAGAAAACCTGGCGCTATACATTAACGGCACCGTTAATGTATAGCGCCAGATTTTCTGGCGTTATACAAAAAAATCTGACACAGCTGATATAGTGCCATAAAAAGTGGCGCTATATGTATATATTCTTTATTTTTCTTTTTGGTAATTATTAGACATCATTTAACTACAATCATTTAGTTATTGCTCTACTATTTATGAATATTCATTTAATAAGTTTTCTAATATTTAATAAGTTTTCTAATGATTTTCCTAATATTTAGAACTTTGAAATCAATTAAAACTTTATATGTTAGTAAAATTTTCCTTATCTTAATTATGTAGATTATTTTCACCCCAATCATTTAGTTATTGCTCTACTATTTATGATATTAAAAAATTATTACCTCCCAAATGAAGAAACAATATAAGGTAATATATTTTTATAAAATTTCATCTAATTATTGCATTCCATCTCTTGTTTGATCGTGGGCTAATTTGATCAACTTCTGAACTCAATCGGATAAAAAAAGTTAAATTATAACTACTATACGTTTTTTTCTTATTAAAATGACAAAAATTACATTTAAAAATTATTCACGGAATATTTGGGTTGGTTCTTGACTGGCAAACAATTTTGGACAAATAAATTTGATCCAACTTGTTAATGCGACTTGAAATTGAAAGTTCGTCAGTTTATGACTTAAAAAGTACAATCAAACCTCTTTATAACAGGTTCGTTTGTTTTAGTTTTTTTTTTTTATTGTTATAGCTAATTGATCTTATAGAGAACATATATTATAATCTAGTATAGAAATTGGTTCCTAATATGTAGATTATTTAGAACTTTCCTTATCTTTATTATTATGATATAATTATAAATATAGTGTACTTATTATTATTTTTAATATTATTAACTTGTTCAACTAATTTCGATAGATTTTGCATGAATTTAATTGCTTAATTTATATATAAGGCATAATTAGTGATTAGTTAGTAGAAAGTGGTTTTCTTAAATAATTTTTATGTGTAATTTTTGATAAATTAAATATTTAAAACAATTGAGGGTATTGTAGTAAACTTATCAATTAAAGTACAGTACGATACAGTCAAACCAAACAGCAAAATGTTATTTAACAACAACGAACAATACAATCTATCCAAACATTGTATTCATAAAACGATACGATACAATACAATACAGTACAATACGATACATTATAAAACGATGGGGAACAGTGATCCAAACAGAGTGTTAGCTTCTTTTTTTTAGGAGTTGACAACAACACTTTTTTTTCATGACGTCCGTAATATTTCTTGTTAGTTTTAATAAATGGCAGCAATTTTAGTTTTATTATTGGTATATATGATAATAATCATGAACTGCTACTTGCTAACACAAATTTTAATCTTGTGGTATTTTGTGGTAGTACAATATATTCAAAGTGCAAATAAATTGACAACAACATATTTCATAGTTATTTCATATGTCTAATAATTACCAACTTATTTACTTTTATGTTAAATATTAGAAAACTTATTAAATATTAGAAAACTTATTAAATGAATATTCATAAATAGTAGAGCAATAACTAAATGATTGTAGTTAAATGATGTCTAATAATTACCAAAAAGAAAAAGAAAGAGTATATACATATAGCGCCACTTTTTATGGCACTATATCGGCTGTGTCAGATTTTTTTGTATAACGCCAGAAAATCTGGCGCTATACATTAACGGTGCAGTTACCTTTAATGTATAGCGCCAGGTTTTCTGGCGTTATATATAGTATGGTAACTTTTTTTTTAACACCTATTTGTGTAGTTTGAGTCCAAAAGAACCACATTTTGGTTCCGGGCTCCACAATTAAGTTCCTCGTCACAAACAAGAGATTTTGTAGTTATCAATTGTCGGGGCTGGGCTAAATCAGGCCCAAATATACTTCTGATATGGTAGGATATTGTTCAGTTTGGATTAACTCCGCACGATTTTCCAAAAGGCCTCACACAATAAAGAAATTCCTACACTTTATTTTAGACTCATAATCTTTTCAGCTACCAATGTGAGACTTTGTTCGCACGCCTAACAATGTCCCCTCGAACTAAGTTCCACGTGACATACTACCATGATCCACGGGTTAATTTTAGAGATTCACTTTGTGTCACCCACATCATTAGAGTATTTATGCTAACAGAAGCCCGCAATTAGCTTATTTTTGTATGTGCGTCTCCAAGCTCGTAAGGATAAACAAATCAAGCTCCACACCATCACCATACTCATCCCATCGGACCCGGGCGCTGATACCAGTAGTTGGGCTAAACCATCCCAGATATACTCTTAATATGGTGTTATATTGTCCGTTTTGGACCAAGCACATACGATTTTCCCAAAATGCCTCACACAATTAACAAATCCATACACCTTATATATAGGTTCTCAATCTTTTCAGCTACTAATGTGAGACTTTGTTCTCACGCCTAACAATCTCCCCTCGAACTAAGTTCCACGTGTCACACTACCATGATCCAAGTGTTAATTTTAGAGATTCACTTTGTATTACCCACATCGTTAGAGAATTTACGACAACCGAAGCCCGCAATTAGCTTTTTTTTTGTATGCGTGTCTCCAAGCTGATAAACATATTGAGCCTCATACCATCACTCAGCTATCACCATGCTCATCCCGTCGACCTTGGGCGTTGATAACAGTAGTTGGGCTAAACCAGTCTAGATATACTCTTAATATGGTGTCATATTGTCGAGCCCCACACAATCACTCGGCCATCATCATACTCATCCCGTCAAATCTGGCATTGATAACAGTAATTAGTCTAAACCAGTCTAGATATACTCTTAATATGGTGTCATATTGTCCACTTTGGACCAAGCACATACGATTTTACCAAAAAGGCCTCACACAATTAACATATCCATACACCTTATATATAGGCTCCCAATCTTTTATGCTACCAATGTGGGAGTTTGTTTGCACACCTAACAATCTCCTCTTGAACTAAGTTCGACATGGCACTGATAACTAGTTCTAGTTGATTTTATACTCCTTTTTGCTTGAGTTTTGGATTAAAAATGTATACAAATAATCCCGAAAAGCTTACATGTTGTGCTTGTCTACAGTGTTTGGTCAAAAAAGTGACAAGAAGTCAAAACCAGCTCAAAAAAAGTGTAAAACCTGCACAAGTTCCAAGAACAAGTCAAAGCACCGCTGCAGCATAAAATCCAATGCGGCTGCAACAGACCCACCGCGGCTACAATCCATTTAGTGTGGTCCGCGGTGGATAAGTTCAGAGAGATGAAATCCTGGAGTTCTAAGCAGTGCGGTCCACGGTAAATTCTTCACGGCCGCGGTAGCCTCATCGCGACCGCAACCCGTTTGTTGCGGTCCGCGGAGAGGGGATTCAGAGAGATAGGATTTTGGAAGTTTCAAGACACCGCGGTCCGCGTCTATTTGTTGCGGTCCGCGGTGAAGCCACCTCAGCCGCGATGCATTTTATGCGATCCGCGGTGGCCAGGTTCAGAGACTTAGAAGTGAAGCCAAAAAGCCTCACCGTGGCCGCGGTGCATTTTCCGCGGTCAGGGGTATTTTTGTCCAGAAAATTTGGCCTTGTATAAATACTTCTTTTTCACATTTTTAGGGTATCTTATCTATAGCTGAGCACGTGAAGGCCATTTTGGACCTATTTTGAGTAACTTTGTAGCTGGTTCAACATTAAATGAATAGGGAAGGTATAGTAATGCTATGAATGACCCAGTATCGAATACTGGTAATAATATCAGCAAACGAACGTTCTCCT